GGTATAGTAGAATATAACGGAATAGGCCCCTGCAATTAATTTTTCCCGTTTTGTTTTCTTGATTTTTTTTTCTTTAAAGCCAACTAGTACCATTTTTGAGTTAATTCTGATATTCATTACGCAGTTTATTTTTTTTTCCTTTCAATTAGAGCCTGTTACCAAAATCAATTAAACATCATAGGGGTTATTTTGGCAGGACAATTTTTTTGGCTCCCCTAAAAGAATAAGTGCATTTTCTACTTTTATTTTTACTATTTAGTACATAGCTTATTTATTTAATTCGTTTAGTACCTACTACCGAAATTGAATTATCACCAAATAAACACGTGGTTTCAGACAACTTTAGGAATGTTAATTTAATCACGTTGTCCTCTTAGGTTAAATTATTCCTTGAGTTTATCTGACAAAACCAATAAGAAAAAAGAGTGTGTAATAAACTCTTCGTTTTTTTAATGAGAGATGTAAGGTAGCAAACATCTCAAACATATATTTACAATATTTTTTTACAAAAAAGATAACAGACTCGTCTGCTGTTTATTTTTTATCAATGGCGAGTTTTAAACTGATGAAAATATTCCATTTTTCAAACGTCTCTCCCAAACGATCTAATAGAATTTTTTTTTTTTTTTTTTTTTTTTTTTTTTTTTTTTTTTTTTTTTTTTTTTNTTTTTTTTTTTTTTTTTTTGAGCGGTTTCTATGATCGGGAGCAAAATTTACACCTTTCACTCACTGTTCATATTTCAGGTTGATGGGAAAAACGGTTTTTCAGTTATAAGAGAAGCACACACTTCATTTAGTTATTATAGATTAGGATAAAACTTAAACCGTATCGTTTTGTTCGTTTATGATCACAATTTTATCCAGAAACTTGGTTTTGAAATTCTAATTTTACTTTTGATAACTCTCGTTTAATATTTTCCGGCAAAGAGATTAGTTAGCAATAGTTTAGCAACAAGTTAACTATTAATATTGCTCTAGAATTTAAAAAAAATATTTCGAATATTTTATTTTAACTACATACGTTGATAATACACTGTTTTTCATAAAATTTATTATAAAACTAATTATAATTTATTTTCCATTTAATAATTGTAAATCGGTCACGAAATATCTTTTTCATAATATATTGCATAGTAACGCGTTACAATTTTATTATATAATGAAAACGACACTTTTAGTTTAAAACTTAAATTTTAAATAATGATTGAAATCAAAAACGCAATAATAACCGCGAAAAATATTAGAAAGGAATGATAAATACCGGTAATTAAGACACAAATTTAATTAATTTAGAGAGATAAATAGGCGTTATAACTTTTATTCACTTTATGCTGATAACTGTTAAAACACGAACTAGAACTGATTAAAACACAACTCTGTTTGAGAAAACTGCCGATAGCAACGTTAAAAAACTTAACTTTTTAATAATTTTTAAACATAACTGTTCTTACAAAAAAAGAACATCATACCAATGAACAAATCAAAAACTGAACTTCTGTGGCTTAACTAGATCACCCATCGCTTTTTAATCCATTGCGGCTTTCAAACTCCAGAAAAACAAATGATCCAGTTCATCGCTTTTAATAACAGTCAAATATATCTGGATCTTCTCTGTTTAATAATATGAATTTTCGCCATGTGATTTTTCTGTCTAATGAAAATGAGTGAAAAATTGGGACGAACACTTTTCTTTTTTGTAATATATAGAGATACATTTTTTAACTTTTTAAAATAATAATAATAAATATATAAATAAGTAATCAGATGGGATTTTTTGAAATTAATTTTCTAATTGAACTCACTACATTTCATATTAATATCAAGAGTTACTTCAAAAACTTGGTTATTTTTTGAGAAAGAATCTTGGCATTGTCGATTAGAGATTACTTTAGAAAAGTTAAAAGAATTAAAACAAGATCATTATTCCATCCATGCAAAAAAGCACTTACTATTCAAAGTTTTCGCGTATTTTTAACGAGGCAACAGATACGAGATATGAATTCAAATGAGGATAAATTTCAAAATAACAAGTATTTTATGACTGACTTAGTAGTTTAGGGGTGTATTTAAACTAATTATGCAAAAATAAACAAATAAAATTTTGCTGACATGCCTCAAATAAAGGTCTTTTCGTAAAGGTCTATATACTTGTCAAATAAAAATCAAAGTCGTTCTCGCTTTCTTGGCTCTACGAATTCCCCTTATTCTTCTTTAATTTTTCTCCTTCCTCTCAAATAATATAGTAATTCACAATTGAGCAACTAACAGTTAATTTATGTATCTTACCTGTTTCTTTTTCATGACATTCTTCATTATTTTATATTTACTTCAATGAACAATGAATATACGTTCTTTTTTTATTTATTAAATATCACTACACTCGGATTTCTATTGTTAATACAGTCAAACCCCGCTTTAAATAACACTGTTTATAGTGAACTCCCGGATATAGTAAAAGAAATGTTCGGTCCCGTGCCTTGCTATACGCGTATAATGTTATTTTTTGAGGATATAGTGAACCAAAAAAGTGAGGAAGTTGGATATAATGAACTTTTTTCTGTCCTGGACTGATTTTTTTCTTCATTTTTTTTGTAATAATTTGGAAAATTCTTCTTAAATAAATACATATATCGATTTTTAAAACCATCTCTAGAGGGAAGTGTAGCAATAAGCATTTTTTTCTTGTTTGCTTCTTTTATCTCACTTTCCCATCCCTAAACAAACCAAGCAGACGTAAAATTCAAAACAAGCAGACGAAGAGTAATACAAAAATAATACATTTTTTGGTACTACATTATATTTTTCAGTCATTTTTGCTTGAATAATGTGTAATAAAAGGGAGGATTTAAGGAACCATTAGTTAAATAACCTGAGTAACAGATATAGTGAACTCCCGGTTATAGTGAACCAAAATGTCGGTCCCTTGAAAGTTTACTATAGCGGGGTTTGACTGTATTTACCAAGCCATTTTATCAGCTCAAACTACGTTATTAAACGTTTTTTACGTTTTTTTAAGTTTAACTATTATTAACGTTTTTACCCGCTCTTCGTTCAGGCAGAAAAAAGAATAAAATTAATCGGTTTAATCAACTCTACTCAACCACACACAAAACAGATGGAGCATACACAACACGATTAAAAAAATTAAAATTATTCTATTATTTATTATTACTTGTTGCCCTTCTCAGTGATTTTTAATGGAGTTAAATTAGGGTTTGAGGTAGATATTCAATAACAAGGACCTATTAGGATTTCTTTATGAGGGTCGTGGGTGGATGGATGCACATGAAATCCTGTGAAGGATTTTGGCAGGAAGGGGTAAAAAGGGGGGAAATTTAAATAGTGATATTTCTACAAGTATTGCTTTCGATGTAATTTTCAGCCTGAATTGACTGAAATCAAACTCGAAATGATGAATTCGATTGGTTTGAAGTTATTAGGGTTTTATTTACAAAATGTACTGGTTTGACTTGTGCATATTACGCATTTGGCATTGCTACCTAGGCAAGTAAAATATTGTTTCTAACTTTTTTTTCGTTTCAGAGTTGAATGAGACTACATACACAAGTCAATAGAATAAATAATCTAAACCTTACAAAACTTTTTATGCATGAAATATACTTTTATAACCGTCGTTGAACAGTCAACCCGATTTTTGGGTTTACGCCCACTGATGTTCAACTCCGCAGTCTTGTAATTGTGAATCCAATCCAGAAGACATAGGACAAGATAAGTATTGGGAGAAATTTGCCTTCTTGGTGGGCTTTTCGATGAAATTAACAAGAATTTGCATTACATGATGAGGGAAACCGCGAAAACCTTCCGGTTAGCAAACGCCAAGGGGACTCTGACCCATGTTCCATCTATTTAACGTCAGCACTGTGTTCGGTGCGAGCCGGGTGCGGAATTCGTATCGACTAACCATCGCTGGGATTCGAACCCGGTTCGCTTCATTAGAAGGTGAACGCCCTGTCCCCTCCGCGTGTTACGGATCATAAAATGTACTTTGACCTCTACTCATGTATACACATTCTATTGCTACTCAAGAGCTATCTGAGCATGTAAGATATATTTTCTGATATAACTTTTCAGGCTAAATTGAATGAGATAAATTCCGTCACAAACAAGCGGATTAATAGTTAAGAAGTCATAAGCGTTTTATGTACAAAAAGTACAATTTTGTACTTTGCACTTTATTTACCCATATTACATTGCTATACACACAAGAGAGTTCTTATAATCTCGATAAGGACTTTTCCCTATATGATTTTCCGTTAAATAAAAGTACCAAACATTATTAATTAATCAATTGGCAATCTGTCTTCGAGCCACTGGATGCATGGGAGTACCTTTTGGGAACCTAGCAAGCATTACTGAAGCATATTTTAAATAGCAATTAAAGATTCAAAATTGTCTGCATTAATTTGTAACAATGAGCTGTGCAAATTGCGTGAGAAAAATTTCATTTATGGTATGCTTCTTCAGAAAGGTCTAATTAAAATATTTTAACAGTCTTTAAAGTCACACTATATTTTATTATTATAGATTTAAAGACACTATTTTCTAAATTTTTCCTAGGTATTAATGTGAGGTTTTAGTAACTGGTTTCATTTTTATGCAAAAATTAATACTAATAATAAAAAAGGAACTCTCCAATCACATATTGATACAACCATTAAATTTGATCACTAAACTACTAAATTAAAATAATTTTAATGTTGATTTACCATTATTATTATTTTTATCATGAAGAAAATAAAAAAAAAATAAGTAAAATGTGCAGGTAGGAAATCCCGTTTTGTATGCCTAGGTATTTCCAATTATTTTCCTTGGAATAAGAGAACTTAAGAAAATAAAAGCAAATAACTAAAAACAAATAAATAAATTGCTCAATAAAGAGAATTTGAAGTTCAATTTTAACATTATAAAGAAGAAAACGTTGCCTGCCTATTCGTTTATTAAAATATAATTATATATATCGTTTGAAATGTTCGTTTCAGATAATAATCCCGCAGACGATTTTGCAATGAAAGATGACAGATACGAAGTGAGAGAAAACAATGATGGTTTACCGAACTCCGTTTTCTTCATCAAAGACGTGCAGTACGGAGACAACCACAAAATCACGTGCTCAGCTGAAAATATGGAGGGATCAGCCGCCACTTCTACCATGTTAGCCGTGAGAGGTAACAATAAAATTGTGCAACAGACCTTGCGAAGTAGATTACTTTTTTCTTTTTTTTTTAATCTCCAATCATCCGTGCATCGAAGGACTCTTGTGTATATGAAGAGACAGAAAAAAAAGCTATCTTTTCATATAGTAGAAAACTTTTATGCTACATCAAAACATAGATCCATGAATCGAATTACAAATGCAACCATCGTATATCTGTAGTTTTGGGATACCTAAAATTTTATTTTATCGAAGTATTCTCTGATATATAATTATTTAGCACCTTCGCTAAGTCTGGAGAAAATAAAATAGAAATTTTTTTTTAATATTAAAATTTAAAAACCTTACGATTTGCTTATTCTCGCTATCCAAAATAATCATAAATATACGAAAGACATTTTAATTACCTGATCGTGAAAGTTTCATAATGATAAAATTTTTTTATATTTATTACTGACCACCTGTTCAAGAATGAATTATATTTATTACTGGCCACCTGTTTCCAATGAATTTGCTGGCTTGAGGATAGGGGTCATGGTCTGCAAAATAAGCAGAGAGATAAGAAAGATATTTCAAAAATAAAATAAGTGAGAAAAAAGTTTTTCATAAGCTTGTAAGTTTTGCGATTTTCAAATTCTCACCATCCCTATCATCAAAATATTTCTAAAGGCTCGCTAATTGTTTGATTAAGAAAGTTTCACATTAATAATATGTTTTATTAATAGTATTATATTTTATTATTAATTATTACAGGCAAACTTGCCTGGCTTTCCAATGTAACAGCTGGAGACAAGCTGGGTATAAGTATTCTTGTTGTTTGCGAAATGAGTAGCGCAAGAGATGTGTATGAGCAACGTGTATTTGAGGATGTATAATCAACGGTTTTTCGCAATACAGACGGGTCATGTAAAAATACGTTTTTGAAATTTCAGCGAACATTCAAAAGTTTAAAAAGTGGTAGCATATCTAATTCATTTCGACTCAGACATGTATTTAGAACTACAACTGCAAGTCATAAAAATTAGTAAATAAATGATCTATAAATTGAAGTTGTCGTGACAAACTTGCGACAGCTTTGATACGATCTTGTTTACCACTTCGAGAGATTTTATATTATATTATATTATATTATATTATATTATATTATATTATATTATATTATATTNTATATTATATTATATTATATTTTTTGGAAGCGTTGCCAGCATGAAATGTGTTAAAATAATTGTCAAAATGAGCTCAGTTTTATTTGGCATGGTCAAGGTTTCTTTAAGGAAGTGGACAAAGTGGCATTTTTTTGCTCTCAATGCTAGTTTCGCCAACATAGAAATAGTATCTAGGTCTCGTAAATTTCATTAAATATTTTTACAAAAATGTCTTAATCGGCTTACTAGCTATATTTTTGTGACCTGGACGAAGATTTTCCTAAATTACTTGAAATACAGCGTGTTTCGTAATGACCACCTAAAAAAGGTAATATTAGATTTCTCGCCTAAAAAGTATATGCATTAGGAGTTGCTAACTAATGAAAGAAATGGCATTGAAATCTAACTACGAGTCACTAAATTAGGAGTGAAAACATCAAAACGAGTTTGATTGCAAAAGGAAACAGGAAGGAGTAGAAACATCTCATAATGTCATCAAGCAATCAAACTGGTTTTGATGGTCTCCAACCGCCTTTCTCTCTAGTGGTTCGACAAATTTTGATAGCCAATTTCTTTCTTCGCTTGAATATACATTGAATATTTTTCAGCGTGTATACTTTCTTTTATTTCATTTTTAACAAAGATTCAAAGAGATTAAGTTCAGTCAGTACAGAATATCCGGTTTATCGATTTATCTTTACGTTATGATTTTAGTATAAATCTCAACCTTCACTTTAAGAAGCGTAATAGCCTAATTTAAAAAATGGATTTAACTTTGTAGGAGAATTTGAAATATTAAAATCTGCTCTAAAGTTTCCCTTCGTAGAAAGTTGGCGAATTTAGTCTACTAAATAAAATATTATGTTTCTATTAAAAATGAATTTAGAAAAAAAAAAGCCTGATTTAGAATTAAGTACTATTCCGAAATAGGATAAAATAAAAAAAAGACAATAAATTTTATATATTTAGGTTTCGAAGAAGCTGTTAAATTGATCGAAACCGGAAAAAGTTCAATTGACATATCACTTTAATGAACATAAACTGAATAATTGTACTTTTAAATCTGCACGGTCTGTTATGTTTTTGAAGGTCGTACGTCATATAACGATGAGTGATCAATGTTTTCAGAGTGTTGGATTTCTTGGAACTTATTCTGAGAATGGGATGTGAAAAAGCGTGGCGGTAGCCTTGGACAATCATCCGTGAATATCCCTTCATGACTTTTGAATATCGATCTCGATGCTTATCACAAAAAAATTTATTCTTATTCAATATTTCTACATTTTTTAATTACAAACATTCGTAAAATGAATAAATCTTTTTTTTTTTTTAATTGGCAGAGAACATCTAAATTGATTTCCATCTCAGAATTCCTCAAAGAATACTTATAAATTGTTTTGAAACGCAAATTAGTATTATTAAGCGAGTTTTGATTTCTATTTTGAGCTTTCTGTTACTTTTTTAAAATTTCTTTCACGTAATACATCGGAGAATAACATGAATTTCAGAAAGGTGAGTTTAGAACAAAACGATTTTTTTTCTCTACAAATTTTTTTTTCTTCAAAGCTATATTTTTTTAACACTTGACAATATAAAATAACTCTAAGTAACAGTAGATAACAACTTGTCTAACCAAATAAATGAGCAACTCGCAGTTTTATACATTACCTCCCTTAATGAGCATTTTTAGATTATTTGTCAAAAAGTATCTGCATAAGGAATTTTGAATTAATATTTAAGCCATAAAAACATGTTATTTAAATAAAATATAAAATCACTAGACTGAAAATATCAAAACTGTTTGATTGCCGGAAGAAACAGAAAGTGGATGAAAAGGCGACTATTATAAACATCTTTAAGTTACATCAGGCAATTAAACTGATTTTGGTGTGATAATGCCGCCTCCCTCACTAGTAATTCAAAAGATTTTGATAGCCTTTTTGTTTCTTCCTTGCTTAAACATTCATTTTCAACCTCTAATATATATATTTCATTTTTGACAGATGCGTATTTAGGGCGAGGCTCACGGAACACCATTATATTCTGTATAAAAATAAGTCAATAAAATTTTTAGCTTTTCTTCTGTATGTTACGGAAAACTGCGTTTAAATCAGATTTGAACTGACTAAACTAAATGTGTGCTATTGATAAAATTTAAAATAAAAGATAATCTATACGTAAATCTCTAACTCTAATGTTTTGTTTATTCGGAGAAAGTTTAATTTTTCTATCAGATTGCGTTAACTTAAAATTATCATCTGTATTAATTAATTCTGTGTCTAATCCTCGAACCATTAAGGATGTACCTTAGTTCGTTAAAAAATACGATCCTAAGATTAAAAGTTATTCAGATTTTCATATATTTATTATTTATTTTGTGCGCTATACATTTAATTAAAATAAAATAAATATCTATGTTAATTTTAAAGATTTAAATTTGGAGTCGAATTTGCTGAAATTTTGCGTATTGAAGCTCTTTGGATACTGGTATGCCTACAGCCAATTAACTTTTCAAATCGGTTGTCCATGTTGATTGAAATACTTAATAAATATATTTCTTCAAAGTGAACACGTTACTTGAGAAAGATTTTTGTAGCATGTATCATATTATATTTTGCTATTTATCAGATTATATAGCTTTACTTTTGAGATAAACACGGGCTCACTTTTAGAGCCCTCTTTGGCCCAATAACTTTTAATCTGAACCCAATATCCATGGAATTTTTTTAAGCCTCAACCAGCCTGAGCCTCCGAGATGACAGATTACATTCGTTAATTTACCAAGAGAAAAGTCGAATAAGATATCTTTATTAAAGACTGCCTATTTTCGAATCATGGTATGAGATTTAATCATTCTTAAATATTTACACTTAATATTAACGTTTTACAATGCTTACATAAACAGAACCAAGCGGATATTTGCAAAATTCTTTAGCTTACAAGTAAAGAAAGCTTTCATGTGAGAAAGATTTATCGTGAGCCAGGGGCCGAAAACTTCCGAACACGGGTTCGCTTCTCATTTCTATTTTAAATTATCGTACCTTTCTTTATTATGTTTTTAAATATTCCCGTAAATATAACTAAATAAAATAAGGAGTGAATAATAATTTAAAAAATAAGTGAATGAGTAAATAGCTGAAGATTAACTAGTGAATCATGAAATTACTGAATCGGTGTATTAGTGTAGTTGTAGTTAATTTACGTCGCACTAGAGCTGCACGATGGGCTATTGGCGACGGTCTGGGAAAGACCCCTGAGGATGATCCTAAGACATGCCATTACAATTTTGATCCTCTGCAGAGGGCATGGCTTCGGTAGCCCGACGACCTGCACGCGAAGTCGAGCATTTTACGGTAGAACAGTTTAACGAGGACCAATACCGCACACTCTCGGTCCCTACGCAGACTGATCCAAGTGGTCACCCACCCGCACACTGACCGTAGCCAGTGATGCTTGATCCGCTGGGAACCGTGTCTTAACGATCAGTCCACTGCGGGACCGGTGTATTAGTGAATGGGTGTATCGATATGTAAATAAATAAGTAAATAATATTAATAACAAAACCCTTCTAAACCAATCTTTTGTCTTATACAGCTAACGATCATAATATTTTCTTTCAAAAATGTCGCATCATAAAATAAAATTATTTTCAGAATTAGTTGAATTATAATTTAATTTTCTCTAGCATAATGGCAAAAATATAATTATAGTAATTCATTTCTGTTATTCATTTATAGTAAAATTCAAAATTTTGCATTTTTAATTTATAAGAATTCCTTATTAAAAACTTTAATATTTTCAGTAATAGATATTAACAATATTTGTAAGTAATTATTTTTTAATTTTCTAAATTCTTAGGGGCTAGAAAGACTCGCAACGTCGCAACTATTTATCACACAATATAAGATTCAATAAAAATTTAAACTTTCCATTTTCATTACCTTCTTTTTTAAGTCTTAAAACCTTTAAACAATAAAATAATAAAAAATTAAAAAGCTTATTTCACCTTAGTTTTAAGCGCACGAAAAAAGTGCCGAAAAATTTAAAACGCATTTTTAGATTTGAAATTTGGTTAGTTATCTTTTCACAACAGAAAAAAATAAACATTAGGGAAATTTATAAACCCCATTTGTCTAAAAAAATTTAAAACGAAAGAAATGGAGAAAGCGGAGAACCAAGAATCATAATAACAGGCAAAATAAATTCTTCATTGTACATTTCTGTTTACTCTTACGTCATAGCTACTGGAAGTGAGGTTAAGATCAGCTGACTCATTACGAAATTTGGTAAATGCAATTTTTTAGCGTGAGCTGGTTTCGAGGATACTCTCTCATCGATTCTCTGATCTCTAGTCTCTTCGTCGGGTTATGTTCATTTTCTAAAGTTTGAGAATTTATTTTAATCTTTTTGTCTGGGTTATCAATTGTGTTTGAAAACTGTATGTGTGTTTATTCTACGAAAGTGGATTAATAAATATGAATAATTATTGGAACAAATTCGGACTTACTGTGCTGCTTAGTTTTGTTTGTATATCATTTACGTTTGGTGAGTTACAATGTTTGTTCGTCGAATTAAAAGACTTCATGAACATTTTCTTATGTTAAAAGTTATTTATATATCTTTCAACAGCTTATACTATATACATGTTTTTAAGAAATGCTTTAATTAGTGTATGCTATAATACGTACTGCATTATTAGCCGAGATTTTCGGTTGTTAAATGTCTGGGAGTTTAATGGATAGAAAATACTTAATAATTTTAAAACAGTTGAATGCTTCTTAACTGTGCAAAATGCATATATACCATAAAACGCTACGTGAAGTTCTTAGCATTACTTGCATATCATGCCAGAAATTGCAAAGTAACTGCTAAATTACGTACGAAAGTTGATGAGCCGCCCTAAGTAGTAGTAACAAATATTTCAGATCTTCTATATATAGTATTTTAGTTTGACTTTTAAAAAGATCATCTATTATAAAAATTAATTCTCTATCGTAATTTATGTCAGAATTAATTTTTGAGCAAATTTTTGTGGAAATATTTGTAGTAATTTTGAGATGTACCTATAATCCAAATTATAGCCATTATTATTTCAAATTTTTTATTGCTAATAAATAAAGCATTTGGGAACATTTATTATTCATAGATTTTTATGTAAAATTTACCTTAAGACTCATATTTACTTTAATACTGTATGTGGGTCAGGTTAACTAGTTACATTTAATCCGAAATATGATTTAAAAAAATGGATTAACCCTATATTTTTTTAAAGTGTTCAATGGCCAATAACTATATTAATGACCCTAACAAGTTTTCAGTTTGTCTTAATTTACTGAATAATTAAAATTTTAAAATTATATAACGGTTATTCTGAAAAAAATTGGGAATTTTTATCACCAAATGTTATTAATAAAAATAGGTTATGAAACCTATTGAATACTTTGAAATTATAAAGGAGTAAATTTATTTGGTATATTCCTATATCTTGATTAATAGTTGTCATATCTGAAGACAGTCACACTCCTGTTTCCAAGTTCAGATGTAAGACAATATCATAAAAAACATTAAATAATTGTAATAAATGTTTTCGTTTAAGAATGTATTAACGAATTTGGAGTTAGAATAAAAATCTGTATTTGAATAAAAGCCTTTTACTTAAGCTTTATTCAAATATCAAATTAGATGCTTGTATCCAAAGAAATATATCATGAACTTTTAACCAGGATTAGTGAAAATCATGATTTTTTTTATATTTATACCTATAACAGTTCTGATAAAATGTATAAATTATTCTTAATATTGTAACGAAAATACCTAACCCTTTGCTTACGGTGTTCCATGTTGCACCATCGCATGTGGTCTACATGTTGTACCAGTCTTAAGCAAAAGATTAATATTTCTTTCTAAAATTATAAATATTATGTTAATTTTAATCACTGAAAAAAGAAATAAAAAAATCATAGTTAGTTCAAGTTGAACATCCTCATGAATTTGTGGACAGACTTAATTTGTCAAATTTTAAAGGAAGATAAATTAATTTTGTATCAGGAAACAAAGAAAATTCAATTATTTTAAATTGTATGTAGCAGAATAAGTTAGTTTTCAATATTTATATTTATAACTATATCTTTAATAAGTTACGGTATTTGTTTTTTGCTCAAATAAACATGAAGCAAAATTGGTATAATTGTAATATGAATTTAGTGTAAAACTAATGGTAAATTACAATTTAAGAGTTTCACAGGACTTTTATTTTCACCTGTTACCAGGGTTGGCAGGTTTTTGACATGTGACAGTTTTTGACTGTTTAAACCATGGTTTAAACTGTCACGTCAAAAACCTCACTGTCGAAAATGTCAAAAACCTATATTCATATGTAAAATTTAATTAATACATAACAGGGGTCTGTCCAGGCCGAATTTACTACCGTTTAGTGGTACCTTCACAAATTCAACTTTAGGAAAAACGTTAGTTTCACAAATTCAATTTTAGGAAAAACGGTTGTTTCACAAAATACTTTCTATTAAAATTTTATTTTTGTATCCCTTAAGAAACGATAAATCCATATTTTAGTGTTGATTTTTTAATATAATTTTTAATTTTTCACAAATTATGTCTAAATTTTCACAAAATAGGTACCTCTCCGAAAAACCTAGACAGACCCCTGCATAAAATTTATATATTTTTTATAAAGGATAGTGTTTCTAAATATGTCCTAGAAAAAATAAATTTAAAATTTTGAAGAAACACTTATATTTTGAATAGTAGCCAAAATCTTGTACTTTTGAAAGCTCACATCTTTTGTAATATCAATACAAAATTCATTCATTTCATGTGTTATTGAAAATCTGCAGTGATATTATTAAGAAATTTATTTATAACCAAATTTAGTGTATAGTATAGATTATACTAAAAATTAGACATTTTTAAAGATAAACATTAGCAGTTTTGTANCCGCATTTTAAAAAAAAATAATTTTTTTTCCTCCTAAGATTTTAGGATTTTTCGTTCTTTTTTGAAAGATGTTTACCATACCATCATTTTAGAAATAATCATTACTGTATTACTTCATCGTTTTTTCTTCTTTTTAAGATTATTTCCTAATATTTTTTTTTTTAGTTGGATTTAACAATAAAAAAAACGACTTTTTGTAGCGGTTCAGAAAAGCGGAAAAATCAGTTATCCGGAATAGCGATGGTCCCGATCGTTCCGGATAATCGGTTCCCTACTGTATATAAAAATTTCTAAAATGAAAAAATTGAAATGATTGTTTGATAAGAAAAAAAAATCTTACTAAAACAAGAAATATCAGCCCTACTTCTATAGACGTCATGTGTCAAACAATACTAGACACATGGAAAAATTTTATTGTTAAATCTTTTAAAAAGTGTAAGGAAATAATAGGGATGAAACAATTTTTTATGGGACTCTCATTAGATGAGGATAAAATAGAATCCATTTGCCGAGGTGCAAGATTTTATGCCGGGATGTGCAGTAAGTCCTTTGCAGGTTCTTTTCAATTCAGTCAGCTAACTGTTAAGACTACTAGTCAAAAAATTTTGTTTCACTTTACTGTTTAAATGCTTGATTTAATGTTAACTTATCAATAAAAAAAAATCTGTTTACATTTTAGCAAATAAATTAAGTACAAATGAAGAAGAGCCTGGAGAAGGTATTTTAATAACAGTTGGAAAAGATCTAACATTGCAGTGTAATAATACAGATGACCTTTCTGCAAAAGTTGAATGGTAAATAATTCTTTTAATACACTTCACTTTTTATCAGTCAATTTTTTTTCAAGTGTATTGTCTAATTTTGAGTTTACCAAATGAGACTTGTTTAGAATGTATTCATTAAAATTTTAAAAATATTATATAAAATCTTCATAAATGTTCAGTTGTATATTATTTAAAGAATTTTTATTACATTTTATTCAACAATGGCTTATGCATTTAATTGTTAATTTTAATACAAAGTTTGTAGTTAACTATTTCATGCTGTGTGAGAATTTTTTCCTTTATTTCTTTAAAAAGTTGAACTTTGGATAAAAACAGAAACACTTCAGTAAGGTTACACATTTAGGTATCTCCATTTAAGTTAGTGCTTAATTCTCCAATTAAAATTTAATGTTCTAAATTTAATAAAAACTTGAATTGGAGACATTAAGTAATAATCAGGGTCATGATTTCTTTTAACTACACAAAATGGAACAAACTGGGTGAAATGGATGAAGCTAAATATTACCAATATCTTTGTTCAGTGATAAGTATTACATGGGTGTACACTTTAAATTTAAACAAATCTAAAAATAATGCCAGAAAATTAAGTTCTTCTCATCTATTTAAAAAAAAAACTATTTTCATACTTATTTTATTTTTATAAAAAAATTTTAAATCTATGTATCATATTAAATAGTTGATTTGAGTATTCTTACCTAATGGTGCTTGATTATAAAAATTAATGTATGCTATTTGTAATTAGGAATTTAATATGATTTGTTGTTGTGAATATCTTTTGTTAATTTAGTTGTGTATTAATAAAATTTGTATTTTCTTAGTTCTTTATACAATTTTAAAATGAGGTTTTATTATACTCCTTTGCATAAAATATTGGAAAAAAAACTATATTATCCAATTTTGTTTATTTTTTGCCAGTTTAGTAATTATGTATTAATCAGCTTGGTAATTAAAACCATAATGTAAATTAAATTATAACTACAGAATGCTTAAATTTTTATATATATATATATATCTATAAATACAGTGAAACCTTCTGTTATGGACACTCCTGCATATCTGACTTCTCTCAATAAGGACATATTTTTAATTCCCAGTGAATCTTCTGGAATAAGCCATTATGTATATTCTCCACAAAGCGTACACTCATGTATTCGGACGGAAACACTTATTTTTGCCCTAAAACATTATTTTTCTATCTCTTCAAACTAGACACTACTTTTTCAAAATTTGAAAAATAAAGCTATTTCTGTTTTCATTTGCAAAAGAAGAAGGAAAAAAAAAAAAAAAAAAACTATGCAACTTTTCACCAATTTTAAGCCTGTAAATTTTTTGCCTTATCTATAACTAAAAATATTAAGCTATTTCACTGCTAAAAAATCAATATCTTTTGTCATCTTGCCTTATGTTTCCAAAGAAAGGGATGCTGCTTTTGTGAAATAATTCCAAAATCGCCATCTTTTGATCTTTTCATCTGGACTACTCAGGTTATGAGACCCCTCAAGTTGAAATAAAGCTCTCAATGCTTCTTCCCCACTGAAAATTTCTTTCATTTTTTTATCAATTTGAAGACTGTATTTAACACAGAAGTACTGTATTTAGCACAGTTGGGGTGAAAAAAAACTAAATATAATCTTTGAGTTCATATTAATGAAACATTTATTCAGACACTTGATAGATGATAAATTATGAATAATCAACTCCATAGGTCCTCATGCCTTACAGGTATGCATTTGTTTCCCGGTGAATCATGGGAGGTTTACTTTCACGGAGGTATTAACCACCTTTCCTATCAAGTGATAGGTAGGTGTTAAGGGGTCTAAACCTAATAATTGAAACCGACTGAGGACTAAAAACTCCTATTCTGTATTATATGACTTAACTTGAATATCTGTGTTAATAGGAAAATTATCTTAATTTTTTCTGTAGCTACATCTAGAATTATGTTTTTATATCAAACTTTTTCATATATTTTTGCATAGAAATTTTTTTTTTTTTTTTTTTTAAAGTTTGAATAAGCCATTTACATATCCTTGTAAATAGTTTATTGTAGAATTTATTCCTTTTCTTGGGCTGAAAGAAACATTTCATCAAAAACTTTTTTTGTAATTGAAGGAGCTTTCCATCTAAAGACTTCAGTTTATTTTTAATGCATAGTTTGAGGGGTCTAAATGGTTTTCAATTCATCAGGAAAGTATCCATGTTTAAATTTCCTTTTTTCTTTCTTTCTAAAACTTGTCTAAAATTCAACTTAGGATTCTAAATTTTTTTATAGTAGTTTGAAAGAAGCACAGATATTATTTAATTGCAAACACCTTTGAAAAATATTCCAAAGAACATTTATAATTTAATTTTCTTTGGAGCTAAAATTTTATGAAAAAAACAAATGTCCTGCTCACATGATATGCCATAGAAATCATGTTAATAAGCTTTAATAGGCAATCAAATATATAAAATTGAAAAATAATATATTTTTAAATAACTTAGTTTTTTTAAAATATTTTTACATAAGTTTATTTTGACCTCGAAAAATATAAAATATTTATCAATTTTCAAATGGCAACATTTGATACGAATGTAAGCAACATATATTTTCCCCAATTGCCCAAGTTTTAATTTAATAGGTTTATTAAAAGTCTAATAATCTAGGTAAAAACCGAAAAAGAAAAAAAAAACACTTGAAGACAAAGCTTTGAATAAATAACTTTTTTCAACAAAATAAGTGAGTTATCAGATGATTTAAAAAAAAAAAAATGGGTGTGTTATTTTCTATTTCCATTGAGTAGATTTCAGTATTTTTCCTGTAAAACCTAATCAGTGTTTCTTTCTCTAGGTTTAAAAATGGTGCAGTTTTAAACCGGACTGATAGTCGTATTCATATTGAAGGGAATACACTTATAATCAGTAATGCTATAGAAAATGATTGTGGTAATTATACTTGCTCCTCTGGAGGTTCAGAAGTTATCATTGCTGTAAAAGGTATTAATAGTTATTTTTTATTGCATATTTTTATAATATTGCAATTTTCCAATACTGTTCTTGATTTGTTCTGAAAAAAATAAATTTTTTTCCAGCTAAAGTAATACTTAAACCTATGGATGCTTCTCGGAATGTAGATCAAAACAGAAATATAGTTTTACTGTGCAATGTTACTCAAGGAACTCCTCTTCCTACTATCAAGTGGCTTAAAGGTGATTAGTTTTATAGTCAGAATTTTGTGTTAGTTCGCAGTACATAAATAAAAATGCAGTGTTTTCACCATAGAAAAAAAATGGGTGAGAATTTCTCACCCTTTCTCAAAAACAGCGTGAGGTTTCAAAAAGTTAAGTGAGATTTCTAAAAACTAAAAAAACACAGAAACTCTCAAAAATAAAAATCATTTCTTTAATTATAATACATTTTTAACGTCTTCTATTTTTTAAAGCATTGAATATTTTTGGTGCATCATCATAGAAGATTTTGCCTTTACAAGATATTTGTCCATCTTACATTAGCACATAAAAAATTTGAATATCTTACATGAAGAAACCTTACGTATATTACAAACACGTAGTTGCAGAGAAATGTGTTCTGAAAGGGATCCCGTGGTTGTGTTCTGTTGTTCGAAAAGGTTCTGAACAATACTGGTAAATAGGGAAGCTAGATAACGGGGCAGATGTTGGAAATAATGAAAGATCCAGGAAGAAAAGTGAAACAGATTTTATTCTAAATGGCGTAATTCGAAGCTTTTTCCAAAAAGCGAGAAATTTGCGAATTTTCAAATTTGATTTATAGAATGCTCTAATTTCTCGCGGTAATAATTTTTTAATGCGAGAAAAGAAAAAAATATGCGAGATTCTCGCGCTGTAGTGAAAACACTGAAAAATGTGTGTGTGTATTTTTTTTTAAATTACATTTTCCCTAGCTAATTCAATGAGGAAGTAATGTGTTGCTAAGAAATTTCAATACAATGTTGTTTAGAGGCTCTATGCTTAAAACATTGTTTTTAATAACATTGGTATTAAATATTTTTTTCTGAATTATTGAAGATGTGGCTTATTTTATTGCTCTTAGACACTCGAGTGCGGTAGGACCTAGATCATTTAAACTACTCTTGAAAGGACCTATTTCGAATAATCAAAATATCTGGTGTATAGAGATAATACAGTTTTTTAATCTCTTTTCATCAATAAACTATGAAATTGATTTTTAGTGCTGTGATCCTTGAATAAATGTCTTTTTGTCAATTAAGTATAAAGACATTTTAAATTTATTAGCTATAAATAAAATATTGCTGCAAATATTGGTTCTCCTTTACATTTTTAAATTAGCCTTTTATAAAAGCAACATCTGATTCTGAATTGTTGGCTGATTTTATTTTATAAAATAGTTTCATTGATTTATATGGTTAAACTTGATGTTATTTGATAGCTTTTTTTAAATTATTTAACACAATTTTTTTTTCCATTCACTGTATTCTTGAGATTTTGGAATTCCTTTATCTATTACAAATCTTCTGACCCTTTGTAGTGTTATAGATTTTCTTAATTATCTTAGAAAAAGTTTTTAGGGAAATTCCATGTATGTTATATCTTTTTTATGGTTCTATTTTGATCAGTTTTCATATGAATTTTGTCTTTAATAATTAGAACTATAGAATACTATTTAATATTTCTATATTTACTATAAATGACATTCAAAAACACTTAAGCCTGCATTTAATAATAAAATAAAATATTTTCATAATACCCATTGCCTTGTTAAAAAAAAGCCTCTTGTGTTTTTGTGCTGCTTGATTATTATCCATAAATGCACTAGCCTTTTCCATAAAATAATTACCCATAAAATACTTGCATAAAAAGTCTTGTAATCTTGTACAATTTTAGTACAAACTGATCAGTATTTTAAAATATGACAAATTTGTTTCATCATGCTTTTTCAGAATTTTGTCGTATGTCTGATATGCATGTGATTGAACCCTGCTCTATTTTGTTGTTCTACATTTAATTGCCTTAAATTTTAAATATTATCTCATAACTACCAACTGTTCCGATTATATTGTATTTGTTCTGATTTTTTACCCTTGTTCTGAAAATATAATCTAAATGTTCTGATTTTTCGGTATGCTTGTGCCTTTTCACTCATTATACAGATTTTCTAGAAAGTAAAAATTACTGGAAATCTTTTCAGAGAGATCTCCTTTCCTATAGAGATCAGATGCCAAAAAACTCACTTTCGATGAACCTGCCTTGTTACTTCTTCTACCAAAAGAAAGGGAATTGGTTAATACTAAATACAGTTTCATCATATTGTAGTGCATATGAATGGTGTTTAAATAGATATCAGTTTAATTATTCTAGGAACTTATCTTAGTTTTAAAATAAATAGATAGATTTTTAAGATTAACAGACTGTGTTAACGTTACAAAGTTGAATGATTAATTTGTGAAAGTATTTTTGATTGTGATTACAAAAGAAAACCTAAAGAAATTTGCCACGATGGAAACAATGTCAATCTAAATGTTGAAGGCACCTTCAAATCCTTTCGATGCAGCAGGAAAAAAAAAGTAAAGATTATTTTAAAAAACAAATTACTAAAGGTTTATCAGGAATATATAGTAAAGGTACCGGATTACTAAAGGTAATTATTTTTTTTAAAATATAGGAAAGTGAAACATAAAGTCAAATGGTAATGTGTATTTGCATGATGATTTATTACCCTGTTTTTTTAATTCCATAAGTAAATGAAGTTTTAATAAAATTCTATAACTAATTCTTCTTTAAATTTATTTTCTAAAATCTATTATTGAAACTTATATATTCCTGAAGCATGAATAACAAAATATTTGATTTCTATTCGGCATTCCGTCACATTTCCAATTAGAAAATTATAGGAAACTGAATCGGTCAAAAGAAAAAGGATAAATTATATTTATTTCACTTTATTTATTTTTCTTTATTATCAAATATAATAATTTTTATATCCAGCATCAGATGAAAGAGAACATTACTGAATGAATTTAACAACAATTGTATAAAAAGTCACAGAATTCATTTTTTTTTTTTTTTAAATTAAATTTAGAGATTACTTAGTAGTCTTAAAACTTGAAAATTCTCTTCTGACACAGCTTGGTATGTATATCATTGAAAATTTTGTATTTTTTTCAACTTCAAGCTCATTGATATTTTCTTTCCAGGCTCTGATCCTCTCAACATGTCAGACCCAAGAGTAACTGTGAAATCTGATGTTAGAGGAATAGAAGGAACTGAAGTAGTTATTTCTGATGCACGATTCGATGATCGAGCAGAATATACTTGTACTGCATCAAATGAAGTCAATTCTGTTAACTCTACTATTTTAATCAGAGTAAAAGGTATTTATATCCTTTTATTTTTATTGTAGCATTTTATGTATGCATTTGTCTCTGCTTTTTTTGAACTTTTAATGGCTTAGATTTAAAGAAAAAACAAACCTGTATTCAACCATGTTATTTAATAAAGTCGCGCTTAGCAATGGCCGATTTAATTCATTATGAATATGATAGAATGCCTGACACATTTCTTTTATTCTTTTTCAATTTAACAATATGTAAGTAGGTAATATAACATTAAAAATATATATATATATAATCCTAGTAATAATATAGTCCAACAAAGGCAAAAAGATTAGAAGATTATTATTGATTTAATTTCTACTTGATAAAAATCTTTATCTGATTTGGTATACAGAGAGTTAAATTAGAATTAAGTACAAATTATTCATTTGAGTACAAAGAGTTGTATATGATTGTTATCATAGAATTGTAATATAGATAGAGCAAGCACACTGTTATATTTCTCTCTTCATCCCAAACATTCCCATAAGTCACATGCTCCCTATCTTCTGGTGATTTTAGCAAAGAAAAATGGATGTGTGACAGATAACAGAGTTCTCATTCTGGTTATTTCTGCTTTGTACTTACAAAAGCAATGGTGCAAAATTAACAACTTTGGGAGAGTTAAGATTGATGGAGCAGTAAAATAATATCTAATCCTTTTTTGATAAGACTTTGCTAGATTAAAAATTATTATATAATTCTAATTTAATACATATAAACTGTACAAAATTGTTTGCATTTTTACAAAATTAAAATAAATCAAATTTTTGAATGGGGTTTTAAAAATGGTAAAAAATATCTTGTGATAACCACTTATAGGTACTTTTTAAGTTTTAAAAATTGTTCAAAATGTTTCACTTAACTTACACTAGCAAAACTAATATCCATATTTATAATTAAAGTTAAAAATCTATTTTTTTTTCTAATGATGCTTCAATATTTTATAATTGTCAAAAAAACTACTTCCCAATTAATTAATAATACATTACCTTTTTTAGAACTTATCTTAACAGATGAAAATTTAAACTTTTAAAATTTTCTTCTGTTTTATGTAATTAAATTTTTTCACTTCTTAAAAATTGTTTATTTTTATTAATTATGTGTCCTTCAAATATTACATAAGCACCTAATGGGGTGACAGTTTACGATTTGCTTATTTTAGCTGACAAAGGGGAGAGCTATAAATAATGCTTATGTAAGAAGGCATATTGTTATGAAAAGAGGGCTATTTTTTTTTAAATAAGTGAGATAAAAATTGAACGTTTCAAATTAAATTTTGGAAGGAAAAAAAAAAAGAGTTGGAATAAAATTTCTTCTAAGGGTTTCAGAGGTTGAGTTTTAACCACAGAAGGATACCCAAAAAATACCTCCAGTATTATTCCCAAAATTTTATAAAATTAATAAATACTTCAATTTCATTTTGTGTAAAGCTATATCTTTCATTCAAATTTATTTCTACAATTAGAGTACTACAATGCAAGTGAATTGTAGATTCTATGTAAAAATCTCTTATTTAACAATCCTTAGTTTAATATTTATTTCTTTATTTTGATATTTTCTAAACTTAATCTTTTAAACAAACAGATGCCTGTTATTTAATCTAATTACTGTGTCCATGTTTGGAAATTAATCTTTTATTCTATCTTCTCAATTGAGAAGATTTGAAATTTAAATAGATATTCATTATTATTAGGACTTTTCTTTTTTGGAATTTAGGTTAAATTTTTTATGCATTTATTTATTTTATTTTTTTTTCTTAGACTTTTTAAAACAATTTTAAAAAAAATTTTCTTTGCTTAAGAAAAAATAACTTAAAAAGAAATAATTCATAGATTTTTTTTTTTAAATTCAGACAAAATTATAAGATTAATAATTTTGGTTAGTTAATTCACTGTGTAATTATTTTATTTTTAGTGACATAATTCAGCTTTATTTTTCATTGAACAAATGAAAACTGATTTGGATGATGAAAATTTTTTTTTACAACAAGTATGCTAAAACAAGTATTTTTCAGGAATCTCAAAGCAAACAAATAATATACTAAATTACCATTCTGGATATATTGGTAAAATTATATTTAAAAAATTTCAGCGAAATTATCGAATAACTTTATTTTATCATATTCTCATAGAGGGCAACCTTGTATTAAAAGATTTGTTTCAGATCTGTCTGTTTAATTTAAAATTAAGCGCATATTTGGCAATTTCCCTCTGGTTAAGTTATTTTGTCCGGAACAAGCCCCTTAATATAAATTTGTAATTATGCATATAAAGTTTGTCTTTTTTTTATTTATTTAAACGCATATATAATTTTTATTTCACTTTAAAATGTAATTAGTTTTAAAGTGAGGAAATTTTTTGGAGCAACATTTGTTCTTGTTTTTTTTGCTTTGCATTGTTTACTAATTATCTTATCTTCGAATTTTTTGATGCATCTTTTATTAAAACAGTCACTTAACAAAATTAAACTTTATTAATTATTTAGATAAGTATGCAGCATTGTGGCCTTTCTTGGGAATTTGTGCTGAAGTTGCCATTTTGTGCACTATCATCTTTATCTACGAGAAACGAAGGCAGAAACCAGATTTTGATGAATCTGAAACTGACCATAACACTGAGAAGTAATATAATTTCTTTTCCTCTTCAAATTATAAGCGTCTGTTTTCAATATTATGTTCGTTATTTGAAAAGTGAAATTTTTTGTAAATGATCTGAAATATTTTATTCTACACAATACTGAAATTCTATGAACCATAGTCAAATTGTACTATAATCAAATTCTGCCTGCATTAATCTGAATTATGCATCAATGTGAAGTTCTATATTAAAATTCAGGGTTCTTTCAATATATTTTTTATAATATAATTAAAATCAAATCTCAAAAAACTAAGTAGTTTGAACTAAATTGATTAAATTGACATAAAACTACTTTCAATGAAACACATAATGTAGATGACTACATTAATGAGTAATAGTTACTTAAAATATTGTGAATCTCACGTTTGTGATTTTTTTAGTGTTTTCTTTTTTCATTATATTTATATAACTGATTTAAAGCCTCACAATTTTAACTTTCTGACCTTAGTTTTTTAGTTATTTCATTAATATAAAAAGCAAGTTTCATAATGAATAATACATTTTAAAAGAATAGGCTTTACTCTGTTTAAATTTGTGCATTTTTTAAGATAGTTTGATTTAAGTCTGAAGAAGCATTATTTAATTGAATTTTTTTTTCATTGCATAATTTTCTTTGGACTAATACTAAATTAAATAAGCATTTATATAGCTTATAACTTTTACATTTGTTGTTAAATATCTTACTAAGTGGTTGTAAAATAATAAGAGGAAGGATTTTATAAAAAATAAAGCTACCAAACCAACATTTAAAATCATAATTGCGTAACTAATTTATTTTAAATGCATGTGTTTGAATTATTGATTTTCCATGATGGGTATTAAAATTTTTTTTAAACTTCAATAGCCAATTTATATACATTAGAACATATGTTACCACCACTAAGTAAATTAATCCTCGACTAACATTCAAGTTAGCAGTTATAAATTTAGAACAGATTAATTTTATTCTATCCTGTTAAGCGAAGAAGCTAGGTGAATGAATTAACAAATTCATTTCACCTAAGATTGATCAATGAAGTTTTTTTATATATTTATTTTATTTACTTATTTGTGGTAAATATTATTTACTTATGAGGTAAATATTATTTACTTATGAGGTAAATCAGTTTTAATTTTTTGAGAAAAAATTTAATTTTATTTTGAGCATTTTAAATCATTTTGCTTAGATCTTAAAAAGTGTGTATTTAGAGAAAAAGGCTTTTTTTTTCCAGAACATTCTGTAGCTATTTTTTTGTAACTTTTTTTAGAATAGCATCTAAGGCTCACATTCAGAAACTGTTCTTGAGTGTAAGGAAATGCTTATACTTAGGTTACTTGATAAAGAGTTGCCATTTGCATTCAAATGTTAAGTACCAAACCTTGCTAATACAAACAAAGGCATAGTTAGGGCTTATAGCACTGAGGACAAACTCAGTTTAAAGTTAGTCAAATATCTATGAATGATATGTCAGACTTAAAGGAACTATTTGGAACTCTTATAAGTTTAGATTCTATTACTAGACGATTTTACATTGAATAAGATTTTTCAACTTTATATCAACATATCTAGTCGTAGTAAAAAAATTAATTTGATTTGGTTTAAAATTGAATAGTATACGTTGCATAAGTAATGTAGTTTTTAATACACTTAGATGTTTATTGTTTTTAATTGAAGAAAAAGTCTGTTTTTTCAATTTGCGAAAAATAGTTTAAAAAATAATTTACCTACATGCATAACAAATTACAACAATGATACACATCCTATTTAACTTATAGGTAAATAGGATAAAATTGTTTGTAGTTATTGGGCCTATTTTACATATTGGGCCAAATGTAACTGGATGACAATCAGATTATTATACAGGGTGCATAGCGTTTTTAAAAAGTGCTTAAAGGTGCTTATTTTTTATTTTTGTTTTTTAAAAGCCCTTAAAGGTGCTTTTTCCATTGGGTGTTTTTAAAAAGTGCTTAATTTTCCTTTTTCCGAAATGTGATATTTTTCTTTATCATGTTGATTTTTGCCGCAAATTATGCAAAAAGACATTGTCCTGTTCAACATTTTCACAATTAATTCAACCCCAATCTATTTCGGCTATTAGTGTATGAAAACACCATTTGTTTTACATATTTGATGAAATACTTGCGAGTCCGCAATTCAGTGGTAAGGATTTTTAACTCTCATATACAACCCTGCTGCATTTTGTGAGAGATTCTCAATTTCAGACTTCATTTTCCGCACTCTGTAATAGAATCGAAAAATCTCTCGAATTTTTGCTGATTACGGGGACCAACTAAACTTTGTCAATTTTTTTCTCTATTAGTGATAGAAAATTCCATTTCTCTTTTTAATTTCATCGTTTGTGACGCGCCATCGTCTTTATCACTGTAAATAAAACCATCAATTGTTAAAAACTTGCCAACCCTGTCTAATTATGATATTTTTCAAAGTGCTTTAAAATATTTTTTGAATGCTTGAAAAGTGCTTATTTTTGTTGAAAAATTTGACTATGCACCCTGTTATATTATTCAGAGATGATTGTGCTCCGGAAAAATCTGTAACTCCGGATTTTTCGCTAACTGCGATATGGAAGTTTCCGGAAATCCAAGGTCCAGAAATCTCAAAAAGAATCAGCGGTCACATTTATGTATAAAAATTCTTGTATATTTTATTTAAAAATATTAAAACTAGAATTTTAACTTGGCATCTCTTTCATTTGTGAATATTTTTTCTGGTAGAATAATAAATGTGATTAGACTTATACATAACTATTGATTTAAATTATGCTGCATATAATTTATTTAGAATTTCATGTTGTGAAAATATCAATGATTTAAATTTATGCAGGTATTAATTTTTTGAAATGCGTCATTCATGATTTTATTCAAGAAATTTTCAGGGTTTTTGAGTTGGGCTCGCAATTACCCCTGTCAATGNTTCCGGAAATCCAAGGTCCAGAAATCTCAAAAAGAACCAGCGGTCACATTTATGTATAAAAATTCTTGTATTTAAAAATATTAAAACTAGAATTTTAACTTGGCATCTCTTTCATTTGTGAATATTTTTTTTGATAGAATAATAAATGTGTTTTGGCATAAAAGTAAACTAATATGTAATTAATCATTTAAATTATGCTGAATATAATTTATTTAGAATTTCATGTTTTGGAAATATCAATTATTTAAATTATAAAGACATTAATTTTTTGAAATACGTCATTAATGATTTTACTCAAGAAATCTTCAGGATTTTTGAGTTTGGCTCACACTCACCCCTGATTATTAAAAAGTGATAAAAATAAGATAAAGGATATAAAGAGATAATGAATAAGGATTATTATATATAATAAAGCAATAGACAGTATTAAAAATAAAAATTTATTCTGGAATTAATATGAAATTTTTTATAAATTTGGCACATCTCTAATGAAGGGATTCTTAAAATTTTTTCCTGAAATTTTTTGAAACTGATTTGAATGGGCTGCCTGACATGGATTCCGTGATACCAATTTCATTTTGAAGATAGTTCTAGTTTCATTAATTATACAAATTTTATCTGCAAGATGTTATAACAAACGTTTCTTTAATCGTATCTATTTTCAGCTTTTATAATTTAGATTGTGTATTTTAATGTAGTTAACCTTTCTGTAATTATATTTTAGTTCCCAATTTCTTAGCTAACTAATGTCCTTTCTTTTCTAGCAAAAGTATTCCAGATCAAGAAGATAAAGGCCGTGATGTTAGACAGCGTAAATAAATGCCTTTCTTTTAGGCCTATGTCTAGTTTTTACATTTTTACCTGTGTAAAAATGACTACACATACCTTACTGTATATGCTTAGAACTATTAATTTTTATATATCTTAGAAATGTTATTTAAACTCTTGGACAAACTAAAACATTTTTGGAGTTTTTGAATTTTAATCATTTCTGCCTTGAAGATCATTTAACATTTCTCTAAGGCTTAACAAAAAAAAAACATTGAATTTTGTTCTTTACCTTTTTTTTTTAAAAGCAAAAAACCCTGTGTTCATACTTGTCATTTGATGCATCGAAAGTTTTCTAGTGGATGTAATATTTTCAATTTTTATTTTAAACTTCATTTTTAATAATGTCTTCTGATTATAATGTTTGCAATATTTCTAAAAATTGGTTCTCTGAATTTTTGTGTATATAGTTGTACTTAAATTGCAATATGTTGAGCTTATTACTTAGTTTTTCTCTTCATATCTTTATTTTCAAGTAACATATAAAAAAATTATATTGTTTTCCAAAAATATTACCTGTTAAGAGATGAAAATTTTATTTGTTGCAAATTGAAAATTTTATTTGTACTGTCCTGTGTGTAATTCATTTTGTATTTTGAATGAAAAGTGGACTTTTCTAGGTATGTATGAGTAATAAATATTTTTAACTAATGTCAAGTAAAAATTGACAAAATTATTGATCTCCAAAACATTTAGGTAAAAATGTTCTGTGTCTATAATCAAAGTATTGCAGTTTATTCCCTATATTTCTTCAAAATTTCAAAACTGTATTTTAGTCTAATCTATTTTCAATTTTGTATGCGTACAGAAGCAAGAATGTTTAAAATAAATAATTATGTAATACTTAGTTGCAGCATTTAGTATTTAAAAAAAAATTTCAATCTATGCCTGATTTTTAACTATTATCTATAACTAATTTTAACTATTTTTGTTATTTATTTCCCATGTGTAATATTTTAGAACACCAGAATTATAAAATCTCATATTAGGTTTTTCTAACTAAAAAATCTCTGAGATTTTTTAATTTAGTTTATAGTATTGCATTTATTTTTTCTATAACAGCTTTTTGCTTTGAAAGAGATTTGCTTCCATATTACTCTTCCCTTTTAATGCGATTAATATCTACTTCAAAGTGAAGATTAAAACCTTAATCTAAGATTAAAATTATTAAATTTTCTCTAGAAAATAATTCATATTGACAAAATGTTAAATAAAATTTTAGACATTGTTTATTATCTAGAATTAGCTGAAATATTAGTTTAGGTTTAAAAAAAAGGTGCTGTAAGCATAAAATATCATTTTGGCCAATGTTTCAAAGGTTTGATGCTCCTTATATTTAATTGTTATTGTTACTCCTTTTATTTAATTTCTTCTCTTTAAATAAATGTATCTTTAAGCAGTATCTAGATCTGATCAACAATCTGCCTAAAACTGTTTAAATACTTAATAATTATGTGTGTGTATTTATATATATATATATATANTTACTATTGAACTTTATGAGATTGGTGACTTTTAGGTTCTATGTGAACTTTGCTTATTTGGGGGAATTATAAACTGGAACCTTGGAAATATGATGCCAATTGTTTACATGAATATTAATTGGATCTTAAGAATGTTTCAATAAATAGAAAGTTTCTTCTTAACATTTTGTTTTTCTTCTAGTTTGAAACCTTTCACTGACTTTTTATGATAATCACTGTGTTAAATATCCCTGTGAAACTTAGTTATTAGTATGAGATTTAAAAGCATTTTAATGCAAAAGATTTGTACACATATAGACTGTTTCGCTATCAGTGTGACAAACTCGTATAAAGTTTAGAGATCACTAAGAAAAATTTAAATAAAACAGCATTGTAGGTTTAGATACGAATTCTATGCAAGCAGCATTTAAAAAAAAAAAGGAAAAAAACCGCTCCAGGATAATGTGTCAAAAAAAGTCTGACATATTTAGCTGTTGGGCCACTTGCTACAGAAGTCGTTTAAAATCTGGACTGGAAGCAGTCTAACAGGCGTTACAGCCGTATGGCTTGTTATTTCTAATGCTCTGGAAGTTTTCTGGCATGTCATGCAGCTACAAAAACTTTCTTATGGGGTCTTCAGTTAGATAAAGTTTTCATTTGGTATCAGCAGGGCAACTGCAGGCATGATAGGTCAGCATACCTTAGAAATGACAACTTGTGTTCAATTCCTCTTTATGCAGGCTTTTCAAATAAAGCAGTGAGTGCTACGTAATTCGGATTTATCTGTCCTCTACACCAGTGTTCCCCAAAGTGTGGTACGCGAACCCCCAGGGGTTACGGGAACAGTTTAGCGGGTTATGCATTCTTATGTGAAATATCCTGCAACAAAGGAAAATTTCAAGACATTTTATTTAAAAATTTAAGATTACGTATTTTTCTATTGGATATTTTTTGCAGAGTTAACAGTTAATAATTAGTGGTGTCAACAGCCAGTTGTGATTTTTAACTTTTGTGTAATTTTTTTGTAGTAAAAAATATTGTTTTTATTAGTGCTACACAGCGTTAGGAAAAATTTAGAAAGGGTACACAAAAGTCATAAGCTTGGGAAACACTGCTCGACACCATTGTTTCTCAACTGCCAAACTGCAGATTAATATTTGTATTAGGTTTAATATAAATTTCATTTATATTTAGATAAGTTTAGAATAAAAATATTTTTGACTGTAGAGAATATGCAAATGATCAGAAACAAACTTGTCAAAAAATTGTTAAGGACCTACAATTTTTTTTGTAGGTAAAAATTCTGCCAATAGTTTTTAATTTTACCACTCTGTGATAAAGCACTTAAATATTTTATCATTCCTTCAAAGTAAATAAGGCTGAGAAGCACTGCCAGATCTCTTTCAAATTTTTTATGCTGGTCATTAAACACTCTGTATAAAATAAATTCAGAAAAATATGTCATTAAAGTTAACATTTTCAAAATATAAAATTTGTTTCTAAATTATTTATACAGTGTTGGATTAATGTGATAGTTTTTTTTATTAATCAATGCATTGGAATAACGTTTAAACTGTGACATAATAATACAATTCAAGATATTTTTATAGAGTATATTTACCAATCGCATCTCCTAACAAAAGAACTTGTTTGAGGTGGAAACATATTCAAGCCACGAATTCTGTCTCAGAACTGTACTAAAGAATATATCTTTTTTTTCTTTCTAACCTGACTATTCAGTTGTTATTGTGCCATTTCGTTTTCAAAAAAGAAACTATTTTCCCCTCGTGTAATAGCTAATATATTACAAATGTTAATTATGAAAAAATATCTTTCGTACTAAATAATTTCATGCGTCTTTAAAAGTTAATACTTTTTCAATGTGAAGTTTTACATTATATATTGTAAAGATAGTAAGAAATGTTTTAAATACATATGTATCTTTAGAAAAACTTCACTGATTTTTCTCCGATTTTAAGAAAAGGGATCCTACTTTGGTTAACCTAAAAGAAAATTATATGAAAGCAATTTCTTTGTTTATTAAGTAACTGATTAATACTTTTTTGTTTTATTCAATTTTGAGCACTTTTAGGAAATATAAATATATTGAAATTAGTTCTATTAAACTGAGTTGTTAAACGTTATGTTTATGAGCATGTTTAAGGTTTGAACTTGGAGAAACTTGAGTCACTAATCTAAAAAAAAAATTAATATAAAAAAAACAAATTTCATTAAAAACTATAAATAAGTTACCGAATAATTGTGAAAATTGCATTTATATAATTATTCATAGGATTCATATTGTCCTGATTTTCCTGATTAAAAAATGTTTTGCTGATATTCCTAGTTTTCCTGATAAACAATATTTTGTTTTGATGTCCAGGATTTTTGTGTTCTCAAAATTATCCAATTTTTTCTCTCCATACAAATGCATATTTTTAAAAAATAGTTTTGAAGAATCTCAAAATTTTTCCTATCCAACATTTTATTTTAATGACTAATGCTAGTGGAAATCAAATTCCATAGTTTCAATTTAAGGACCATCAACTAATTATGTGCATGAATATAGCCTGCTTACTCCCTGAGTTTTGTTTAAACATTTTTGAAAATTCAGTCGGTCTATGAAAAAGAAAATTAACAATTTATATAATGAAATATTTATCGGAATGAATTGAGGTGATTATTATTTTATGCAAATTCCGTTACAAATCTTGTGGGGGTGGTCTTTCGCAAGTATGAATGCACTTTTATGTAATTATTAAAATGATCAATTCCAATCAACGCAATCTTATAGAATTTTATATTATGAATTGAGAGATCATCCTCTAAAATTTTGTACAGATATGCTACGTGACGTATACACTATTTTTATTTCAAACTTACTGCAATCCCACTTTAAAGTTATTTGTGTAAGAAAACCTTGGACTTGATTACAAATTTTAATTATATATTGGTATGAGAGAATAGTAAATATTTTTTTAATGCAAAAGTACTTTTTTTTCATAACCAGCATTGAACAGCCGACAAAATTCTCAGTTTACGACTATCGATGTTAAACTGCTTACCCTTGTAATTTTAAACCCAACCCAGAAGACAAGGGAACTTCTGGATCAAGCATTGGGACAAACTAACCTTTGTGGAAGGTTTTTTGATGGAGCTAACCAGCATTTGCATTACATGGAGAGGAAGACGTCTCACGGTTAGTCTGATGGCAAGAGGACACTAACCCATGATCCGTCTATCACTAAGGATATTTTACGTCAGCACTGTGGTTACTTCGAGCCGGATGCGGAATTCGTATCGATCAGCCCGCGTTGGGGTTCGAAACCGGTTCATCTCATCGAAGAGCGAACATTCTATCCCTTGAAACATCACGGCCCAATTAAGATGATCTGATATTATAACTGTCGTTGAACAGCCAACCTAAATTTTGAGTTTATGACTACTATTGTTAAACTCCATAGCCTTGTAATTTTGAACCCAATTCAGAAGACAAGGGAACTCCTGGATTAAGTATTGGGTGAAATTTTGGCTACGAGGAGGACCTTTTGATTGAATTAAACCCGCATTTGCGTTTCATTGAGAGGAAACCCACCCATTTTCTGTATTTAACAGAGGACATAATAATTTTTGGCATTAATCAGGGCCGGATTATCGCCTAGGCCCAATAGGTACGGGCCTAGGGTCCACACTTTCTTGGGGGCCTCCAAAATTAGTAAAAAGTCTGCAATATTACATTGAAAAAAATACTGAAAGAAACAGTTTATCTCAAAAGAAATTTTTTATTTCAAATTTTCTTTATATTGTGTTAAACTAAACTCGTGTAAACATTGCACCAATCAATTTCGAAAGTACAGCTTAATTTTAATTAGTGCAATTTTTACTCCAACGGCTTAAGCAAATGCAACGAGAATGCATATTACTTAAGTTTTTTATAAATGATTAGTGTCAACAAGAACTTAACAAATATGTAAAGCTGTAGATGGAAGGCTGCAATCTTTAAAATAAATAAGCTAATCAGTGACTTTAGCAAAAATCACTGATTTCAATTGTTTGTGGTCGGCAAACTATTTTTATTTTCATTCAACATTGTTTTGTTTTATATTTTGCTTTAATAATTACATGTTTAAACATTATCTTAGAAAAATAATCTTCAATTGTCTACTTTCAAAATTTTTTAGAATGTTTCTCTTGATTCATGCAGTTCAATAGATTCTTTTTATAGTTAGGACTATTCTTCAGAAATTTAATTTCAAAATATTTTGTTAGGGGCCCCGAAAATTTTGTGGGCCTTGGGCCTGAATTTGTCTTGGTTGGTCCCTGGCATTAATGAAAAACTTTCCTGAAGCATGCTGGATTGTGTTATATATTCAGGACAAGGGCATATTGTAAAACCAAGGGCAGTCTGAATTTGGATATTTTATTTTTTAAAAGTTTAGAAAAAGCTATAGTAAAAAAAAAATTTTTTTTTATTTCCAATGAGCTGCATTATCGGTCTTGCCGATGAGCAGACCTAGTGCGTTCTCCAGAGCTGGTATCCACTTTTTCAGGACCACCACAATGGGTGAGATTCCGTTGGTCATGTTAATTTGGACGTCTAGTTTCTGCCACACTAGATGGCAGCACCGAGACTCTATTTGGATGCTAAAGTGCACTAGGAATTGAAATTTGCCGGAAATGCCAAGAGCCCTATAGTAAAAATTGAAGGAAGGAAAAAGGTACGGTGCAAAAAAAAATTGCGTGGCGTCCCTCCGCGCAGAAGAAATGAAAATAGAAAGGGGTAGAAATTGATTTTTAGTGAAATCATATTGTTTCTTTAAGACAAACTTTATTAACGTTGCTTACAATTCACAATTGATCGTATCTTTTAATTATCATTTTCGAGTGGAGAAATATCCAAATCTATAACATTTACAATGGGATTATGATAACTAAAGTAAGATACGAAATGTTTGAGTTCAATATTTCTTGCAAAAACTGCATCAATGGTAGTTCCCCCTTTGGTTGTTGAATCATTCCTACCATTTATCATTTCCAATCCAAATTTGTGTTTAAGGAAGGTTAATAAGTGCTTTCATATCCCCTCCATGGTCAGGGCTAAAGCATGGTAGCGTTAAACGTTTAACGCAACCTTGTTGGAAGGCGCATTAGAAGTTTCACTTTAAAAAAAACTTAACACCCAGAATTTTATTTGATCTTCACGTTCCAAAACTCAATCTTAATGGTCCAAGGGGATCATTTCAAATATGCTAATTAATTAGTGCAGACGATATTTTAAGTTACGAAATCAGCATAAAAACATAATTTCTCAGACGGAACATTCTTTTTTTTTGACGGATTCGGATTTCTGACCCCCGGAATATAACCCTCGCAATCGGGGAGTGGTTGCGGTTGTTAATTTACGTCGCATTAGAGCTGCACAATGGGCTATTGGCGACGGTCTGGGTAACATCCCTGAGGATGATCCGAAGACATGCCATCACAATTTTGATCCTCTGTGGAGGGGATGGCACCCCCGCTTCGGTAGCCCGACGACCTGCGCGCGAAGTCGAGCACTTTACGGTAGCACAGTTTAACGAGGACCAATACCGCACACCCTCGGTCCCTACGCAGACTGATCCAAGTGGTCACCCACCCGCACACTGACCGTAGCCAGTGATGCTTGACTTCGGTGATCTGCTGGGAACCGTGTCTTAACGATCAGTCCACTGCGGGACCTCGCAATCGGGGAAATATGGTCCCCATGACTAGGTCAGGAGACCTATATCCAAAGTTTAGACCCCTTAATGATGTAAATTTTACTTTTTGTATGTTTAGATTGAGTCCTGAAACGAAGATCAGATCATTCGATTAAAAGTTATTCAGGGTGTTCCGTTTCACCCCCACACATAAAGATTTCAAGGATTAATAACCTAAAAATTTGATTTTTATCGGTTTCTGAGTTTATTTTTAAATAATAATTATAAATTTTTTTTTGAAATATTAGTTTTTTTATTCTTAGATTTTTTTTTATTATTTACTTTTTTAAGTAAATATTAGAAAATTGCTCTTATAAGAATTATGTTTCATTTTAGTTTCGAAATATATGGTTCGGATAGAAAATAGTATAGAATCCAAAACAACCCTTATAAAAGAATAGCATAAATAAAATTAGTTTAGGCTTGTAATTAGTGATATGATCGCTTTACCCACAGTACTTAAAACGTAAAAAAGTTTTTACAGATTTAGTTCGTTTGTAACTATTACCGGAAGATTATGAGAAAATCAGATCCATCATAAATGTTCTTTATTTATAATTTAACACTGTTATCCTGGATGTGAGATTCGCTTATAATCTGAAAGAAGAACATTTTTACAATGTGCAATGCCATTTTTTAAAAATATTTTTATGCATTTAGTGCAATCTGTTCTTTCAAGTCCAGTTTTAGGTTTTCGAGAGTCATTTTGACAGTCAAATAAAATAATTAAGAACACATTATGTTGAAACATACCTAAACATTCGGACAATAGATTTGAAGTTCATCCGTAATGAAGAAAGGATATTTCGTATGAAATGGAACTTAATGGTAAAAATATAAAACATAAATGTACTATCAAATTATAACAAGAAATTAATACTTGGAGCAAATCAGAATATAAATTTCGAGTTCCAAACAAGCTGGCAGTTGTTGAATGCTAAAAGGCAAAAATAAGTTAACATGACACTAATAACATTCGACAGTTATAAAAAGTAAACAGTATGTTTAAAATTTATGCTGTGTTAATAGAAAATAATTGTAATTTAAAAAATTGTATCGAGCATGAACTAAATAACTAGCAACCACTATTATAGGCTAATTAGGAAATCATTAAATAATAATCGGAATAATTTTAAAAAAATCAAATAATTTTTAAGATGTCATTTACGTGAAAGTGCTAAGCATAGAACTAATTTGTGAAATAATCTAAAGAATTAATTTTTTATTAAATTGAAAAATAGTTTTTTGGTGTTTTTTTTTTCTTAAAAAGTAAGAAATTTAAAAAAGTCTAAAGTTACGTGAAATTATTGAGGGGGCACATGCCCCCCTATGCTCCCATGACGATACGACACCTATTGTGATACCTATTGTGTGTTGGCTAAGTTAAAATTGGCAATATTATTAAATTAAATTGGCCATTCCTCTCAGAGTGGTGAACATTTAGCCACACAGCAAAATATGTAGACTTAATTCTGTTATTTGTCACAATAAACTGTGGAGAATTTGTTGACTTGGAAGGCAAACCTGAATGAATTTCAAAAAATGTTTTTATTTAGCTTTTTTAAAAAAAAATGCTAAATCAGTCACTCAATCTGTTTTAAAAAAACAGAATAATTTATCTCTAAGTAATTTTTAGTGTTAAAAATGTTACTTAAAATAAATTTAATTTGAAGAATATATGACTTTATTATTATTTTTTTGTATTTACTATTGTTGCTCTCATGGTGTTGCCGTGGTCACAAAAAGTCTGAGACTTGTTTATTTTCTGAGGCTGGTAAGTCTGACATTAGTATCTGAAGCGAATTACATAATACATAAGAGCAACGAATTTTCAACTTGTAATTTACTATTAAACTGTTTGGCGTGAGTATTAAAAAAAAAAGGTGAGATTTACGTTTTTTCCCCCTGCTATGAGGTTAAATTTTGAATAGAATTGTCAGAATTTACTTTTATTGTTTATCAGAATTGAAATTAAGTTTCGAAACCTAGGAAAGTTTTATAGGTAAATCTTGTCCTCGAATCCAGGAAATAAGATTTATTATTATTTTTTTATTTTATTTTTATTTGATATCATCCACAAGAGGATGTCTTCAACCACAACTATCTCGAGAAAACCGGTTTATTTCTCAGGTCAGGAATCAATGCTTTGGGTTGTTTTTATTTGCTATACACACTTTCGAACATGATTTTTTCTTTCTATTTTTAAATCTATTCCATCTAAAATTTGTTTCTAAACCTATTCTATCAAAATCGATTTTTTTTTTTTACAAAAAAAATTTGTATTATATTTTCAGGATTGAAAAATATTATTTAATAACACATGTTATGTAATATTTAACTGGTCCTCGGATTCTAAATATTGCAAATTGCGGTTTTAATCGTAACAAATTGCCAGAAACAAAGCAAATTAACAATCCGAAAAAATTGCAATCACAAAATCTTAGGACATATATCTTACCGATATTTATTCGAATTTTTAATTGTAATTTTATTATCCTGTTCATCAATATTTAAAAGAAAATTTTTTTTTAAATTTTTTTATCGTGTGAATTTAAATGTTTAAAAATTTCTATTCTTTTCCCTTTTTTTTCTTTCTATTATTTTCTTTTCTTTCTTTGTTTTGGCTTTGTAAAGATTTATTATGTTTCTCAAAAGCAATAATTAATTTTTTTCTCTAATTACTTTTCTTGCGCTTTAGCAGCGTTTTTAATAACTTATGCTATTTCCTGTCATTAGACAGAATTACAAATGTATTTTTAAGTTAACTCCCTTAAAGGTACTTAATCCATTTAGCTAGTGATAAAGTCTACAGTAAAAAAATAGTAAAGTCAACAGATTTATTTTTATTTAAATAAATATAGCATAAAAAACTTTTAAACAGGTAATAAATAAAATAGCTAGACCTGTGAAATAAATAAACTAAAGAGAGAGAGAACGAGAATTTTACTAAGTCAGAATTGAAAAGAAAAAGTTAATTTGTAATTAAATGTTATTCTTTGAGAATAGAAAAACATAACCAATCATTTTTACTTTTTTAATAACCTTAAAAGTTGAAATCATGCTTTGTAACTTATATTTAATCTACAGTTTTTGTTTACTGAAGCGAATTCCTTTATATATGAGTGTTTTTTTATTTAAGACAAATAAATTTAAATTTAATTGACAATATTGGTTTAGTGAAGATTTTTCTTTGACAAAAAAAATGTTTTTTTTTTTCTATTGAAAATTAAACATTGGAATTTTTAATTTTCATATTAGAATATATTCATAATCTAATATTCATATTATAAAATTAAATATTGGATTTTTTTAAAAATATCCTAACAAATTAAAACAAGAATTTTAAACTTAATTGAAGTCATGCTTTGAACATAAGTTGAAATCATGCTTTGTAACTTATATTTAATCTGCAGTTTTTATTTATTAAAGCGAATTCCTTTATAATATATAGGTGTTTTTTTTTTAATTTTATTTAAGACAAATAAATTTAAATTCAATTGACAATATTGTTTTAGTGAAGGTTTTTCTTTGACAATAAAAATAAATTTATTGAAAAGTAAATATTGGAATCTTTAATTTTCAATGTATAACATGCATAAAACATGTTTTAAATATTTATATTTACATTAGAAAATTATATATTGGAATTTTTTTTAAATAACCTAACAAATTAAAACAAGAATTTTAAACTTAAATTCAATCAACAGCAGTTGCTTACTCCCCCTCCTTCAAATTTGATTTGATAGCGATAGTCAAAAATATGAAAACTGTAATCAGTTTCCATATTTTATCTCAGCTACGAAGATAATTTTTGCCGAAGGAAAAAAGTCTCACAGGGAAAAATCATAGCTGGCGTAACCTTGTTAATCGTTTGTCGCTAGAGTGGTTTTGACCTTCCTTCTGAACTGCTTCGGAAAAAAAGTGGAATAATTTATACAATTCGCTTCAAACATCTCACATATTGGCTCGAACTCAACTGAAGGGAGAGTTTATGGGTGGATCTTTTTCAGTCCATGCTTAAACTTTATCGATTGGTGACCATAATCTAGTGTTGTGGCACTATTTCATCAGCGGAAGCGGATTCTTATTCTAAAAAAGAAATGGCTAACTCTTCAAGGCCAAGGACCTTAGCGCGATCAGTGAACGACACATTGCAAGTGTACGGAGTAGCGCTTATTTTCGCTTTTATATTTTTAATTTGTTTGCCTTCTTGGTTAAGATGGTGCTTCTTTTTTGTGTGTGGTGTAGTTTTTTTAGTGAACGTTTTGTTTCCTTTTGTGGAAGATTGGATGCCCAGAAGTCGGGTACAAGCTGCAGGAAAGGCTGTTTTAATTACTGGTATGTAGAAAATATTTTTTCAAAAATGATAATTGGAATTAGATTTGCGTTATCTTATAGAAATATTCAAAATTGAGACAAACAAAAATGTTTCTAAAACAATAAACTGAAGAGCTTTTTGCGTCTCTCTATAACTCCACAATCGTTTATGCTAGCTGAAATTTGCGATGGACTATTTTTGCCCCCGATCCTAAAAAATGTTCCAAAAATTCCTATTATACCGTTAGAGCGAGATTTTGAAAAATGGAATTTTTTCGTTGGTTGCCTTTGTTTCCATGCCAACTAGTCATTGTCTTAAAGTAAACTACAGGTGATTCTATTTTATCAAATATTTTTAAATACAACATTATTAATGCCTGCTATCTTATAACTCTCATTTATAATTAAAGAATTCACTTTCTTAAATAATTAATTTTATTTTAATTGTTGTCAGATGAAATTAAGCGGAAGTCACCAAATTAGTATTTCTGAAGTTATCTGAAACCACGTGTTTATTTAGTTCAGGACTGTCCAACTGGAGGCCCGTGGACCGCATGCGGCCCTCCAACACATATTGTGCGGCCCGCCAACTACTTATTCAGGCTGATCGGTCTCAGTTTTCCCATTAAAATGTAAGCAAATTGTTTTATAATCCTTCTGTTCCATTATTTTATAATTAATAATTCAACTATTAATTATTATTGTGCAAGAGGTTATTGTTCAACTTTTTCAAACTGCGGCCCGCCAGGTGATCAGTGACCGGAATTCTGACCGGTGGGCTCTTTGCAGTTGGACAGCCCTGATTTAGTTCATGGTTATGCGTTTAAAACGTATTCTATAAAACTATAATATGTAACGCAACGTTCATGATAATTCATTTCTTCATTCATGATAATCGTTCTACTTTCATGCTAATTCATTCATTTGTTTGTATTTGAACAAGTATTTGCTACTTAAATGCATTTTTAAAAGAATATTTTTATTCCTCACAACGATGACATTTTCTTAGAATTCTAACTAAACATCTTTTCCCTTGGCATATTAATGAAAGTTCCAATTACTATAACTCACAGTAACAACCTGTAATAAAAATACTTCTGTACACAGTAGGTTAAAAAAAACGAGGTAACGGGATCGAATTCTGCCGTAACCTTGGATGTAACGTCCTCTCGAATGTGATATCTGTTTTTCTACTTGACAAGGCTTAAAAGCAGTACTTGAACATACAAGTGTGCGTGTATGTATACCAATAAATAAAAAATAGCGCGTGGAGTCCCTCCGCGCGGAAGAAGTTAAACTTCGCAACCTGCGACATTAATTGTAGACGAATCAGCAGTAATAGAAGGGTCACTAGTTCTATTCAACGACTCTTTTTCCTGCTCCGCTCGCTTCCGTGCTCTGTAATCACGATAATATTGTGCATTTTTCCCTCGAGGGCCTCTTGAACCAGTGGAAGTGCTTGTGGTTGCCTCATCGTCTCGCCCTGGAAAATGTATTTGTATTAATAATGTATGTGAATGCGTCATAATGTAATTTCAAAAGAGAAAACCTAACAATCAATTGATATTCTCAAGAGACGTACCTTGACANTAATGATGCTTGATTAGTTTTAGTAAAAGCTACTATTGAAATAAAATAAAAAAAGAATTAATTACTAAAATGCCAAATTAATGGTGAAATGGATTGAAAAAATCGCCATAATGTTAATGACACCAGTGATGCTTATTTATTTTTAGTAACAAGTTTTAATTGAAATATAAAAATAAGGTATATTCTGAAAAGCTATGTAGAAAATTAATTAGCAATGTACTTAAAAAGCAAAATGAATGGAAAGAGGGTACTAATTCGTTTAAGATAAGCTTAAAAAATCACCGTACTTTAATCGGTGCCAAATATTCTTTGTTAATTTTTGTAATCGGAAACAATTTAAATTAAATAATTTATCTATGTACTAAAAGGCAAATTTAAGAGAGAAATGGTACTAATTTGTTTTAAGCTATCGTATGACGCGTGGGTGATTATTATTATATTAAAATGAGATTTGTACTTATTTCATGAAAAATATATCATAGTATTTAATTTCTTTTTTTTCCCAATAAAAACTTTTATTGTGGACTTTTATGCATAAGTAAATAACTTACATAATAAGTAAATAATTAGTAAATAACTTAAATAATATAAATCTAAGTAATTTGTCAAGTTTTATTCCGTGACAATTAGATAGTATGTTTAACCATTATTACTTGTAATATGTGATTCTAAATATTCCACTGATAACAAAGTCAGAGTTAATATGACGACATTGTATAAAGGTAATCTGAGACGATGTATCTAACTGATATAGTAATCGTTTGTTTAGTTTATAATTCTATTTTAACGCCACAATAAAACACAGCTGGTGGTAAATCAACAACGGTTACAGCTGTCTTTCATTGTTTTTTTTTAATTTTTTCTTGTGTAAACTTGCTCATTTCCCAAGGACCAAATATATTTTTGGTTTATTTAATTCGAACTATAAACTAATATAAAAATAAAATAAACGGAATCGATTAAAAAAAACCTGTTTAGACAGTTTCTTTTCTGACAAAGAACTTATTTCTAAAAAATAAATGGTTCGATGAGAAAAATCCTGTTAATATAGTGCATGAGGCCGAACCTCAAAATTAAATTTTTTTAGCTTGATTTTTGAAAAGTAAGATTTGAACTTTTATTTTACGAGAGTTATCACTCTCGTAAAATAAAATTTTTCAATGAATAATCGCTAGAGTCATGGCGGCTCAGGGGATAGAGTGTTTCCCTTCCAATGAAGTGACCCGGGTTCGAATCGCAGCAATTGCTGATCGTTATGAACTCCGCACCCAGATCGCACTGACCACAATTCTGACGTTAAGTATCCTCAGTGGTAGACGGGTCATGGGTTAGAGTCCCCTTGCAGTTAGGCTAACCTTGGGAGATTTTCGTGATTTTTATCTCCATGCAACGCAAATGTGGATAAGTTCCATTCAGAAGTGTTCCACGACGGCAAATTTCTCCCAATACTTGATTCAGGAGTTTCCTTGTCTTCTAAATTCTGTTGAAATTTGGCAAGGCTACAGAATTGAACATTGCTAGTCGTAAATCTGAAGTAAAATAAAAATAAAATCAATAATCGCTGGATCTAATGATAATAATTTTTGATGCAAAATTTTTATTTGTTAGCATTAATATTACACAGTAACTAGTAACTTTCTGAAATGTATAACCCCCTGGGAAAAGAAGTGGAAGGATATACTTGATAATTTAATCATCATTTGCTTCATTTGCTTTGAGCTGAAAAAGTTGACATGCTTCGAGCAATCAAAAATAGGCACTCATTCTCCAGAGCAGCGGTTCCCAATTTTTTTCGGCTACGGATTAATCATCCTTATTTCGGCCGAACCACTTGTTTATAAATAAAGCTTAAGGTACTTTATAAATAAAGTTAATAAAGCTAAGTTACTTTATAAATAATACTTTATAAAGTTTAAAATAAAGTTATGTTTAATTAAGTTAAGGCTTTAAAGTATTAAAAGACTATATTTAAAATATTTAATTGGAGGAATAAAAATTTTTCATTGTTTTATGATTAATAATCTTAAATTAGGTTTTATGACCGACAGTTAAATTTGAAGACCCTGAGATATATATAGTCGTGTTATGAATTTGTTTCTGCTGTATGTGCAGTGCTCAAAACGCAAGAAACGGTCCACCCTGAATAACTTTTGATCTAATGATCGGATCTTTACGTTCTAGTCTTAATGGTTCGAGGGGGTGACCTCAAATTTACTAGTGCAGACAATATTTTAAGTTACGAAATTCAGACACAATAACGCATTTTCTCTGAATGCAAAACGTATCTTTTTTTCGACTGTTTCTGACACCCAAAATTTGGTAGGTTACCACAATCTGGGAAATATGGTCCCAATAGTTTGGTCAGGCCCAAAGGTTGGGCCCCTTAATTTTACTTTTTGCTTGTTTCCTCATACCTCGAGAACTATTTAAGCGAATTGAAAGCACACAATTATATAAAAAAAATTCGTTTATCCAAAGTCCATGCAAGAAATAACTTTTAGTAAATATTTATTGTTTTTATTATTTTATTCAGTAACAGTCGAAACAATTTTTAATGATAGTAATACACATCTCTTTAGCGAACATATGTAGACATTGTTTTTATGGGTAGTAGTAGTACTTTGTTTTCATCGCACTAGAGTTTGCACGATGGTGGTGGTCTTGGAAACATCCCTGAGGATGAATGCCCTCAGAATTTGGATTATGTGTTGACGGTGGTCGTGCTTTGAAAGTGGTTTTTTCACTTCGGTAGCCCAGTGACCTGCGCGCAAAGTCTAGCACTTTACGATGGAAAAATTTAACGAGGACCGATACCGCCTCCTCTTGTTCCCTTCGCAGGCTGATCAAAGTGGTCACTTACCCGCTCACTGACAGCAGCCAGTGATGCTTTCTACTGGGAACAGCGTCTTACTGTGGGACAGTTTAAACTGGGAACGACTGTCTTTCATGTAGCACATCTGTCATGAGTATTTTCTTAATTTCGTGCCTTAAATTAAAATGTTTGTTGTTTGGTACAGAATTGGTTCTTATAGAATTGGTACAGAATTGGTTCTTATTAACTGCTGTTTGAATAATGTGATCTGTGCCATGGTGCAACAACTTGTTGTACGGCAGTTAGCAATTTCTGTTTTACGTGGATGTCAAATTTTTATTTTTATATTGATTGTGTTGGAAAAATATATTAGAAAAAAAAGTGTTTGTCTATTTTAATATTTTTTTTTAATGGCGGGCACTTGGGGGTTGTTCCATTGGCCACAGAAATGCCAGAACTGCTACTCTCTTCTCGTTACCCAGTGGGCACCTGTGGAGAAGCCACGGCGGTGGAGCAGCGTCGTCCACGTCACACAACCACAAACCCGTTTATAGGGCGGGTCACATTCACACAATCACACACAAAGGAGAAAGGACATAGAACACAGAGAGAAAGAAAC